ATAAATTTTAGTTATCAAAAAATAAATAAACTCAGTAATGCTTTTTGATTTGAAAATTCAGCACAGGTGGTGCCCTGCCATTTGACCATAGCCCATTGCTGGGTAAGGGTAAAATTGTGAAGCAGTCAAATTGCAAGACAATGTCAAATTCTATGTTTTCTACATGGAATTTGACATTTTGAGTCTCTCTGCTGGTCAAATTGTGGGGCAAGGTCAAATTGCAAGTCAACGTCCCAGCAAATATATGACCATCAAATTGCAGGATGGGCAAATTGAAGGAGGTTGAATTTGCAAGGTGTCACCTGTATTTTATTCACTCAAACAGTCAAATAGCCTCAATAAGCTGCAACCATTTGTTTATTGGGAGTCATTTGTGGCAGTTTTATATACTGTACATGGTCTACAGTTAACCCCTTCTCTGTTGCAAAAACTAGGTATTAAAAAAATGTGCGTCCATGAGCAATAATGTAAAGGAAAACTAACTTTTTAGGCAAGACCAAAATTGTGGAAAAATTCCAATATATTTTCTTCAATATGAGAAAATTTTTGATACAAAATAAAAAAATCTCAATCAAAAACTAAACTGTTGTCCAATAAATATACTAAGTTGTACAAAAATGATATATAAACAATATAAAGAAATAAAAACAGGAAACAGCTGCAGGGGCATAACATCACTTTTCTCGAAATGTTTCTATAGGTTACCAAACCGCTTAAACCAGTATAAAAACCAAATGCACCTGATCAAAAGCCCAAACAATTCAGGCAACACCTATACTATGTCCAAAAAAACTAAAAAAAAAAAAACTGTGAACACTGGAAGCCAGACCATGCTGGGCTCCAGCGCAAGATAAGGTTTCAGACAAATTTTAAATTTAGATTCTGTGGAATAAGCTCTATTATTTGAAAATAGATGCTCAATGCCTATATTTTGAATACAGTGAATCCCCAATGACATTCCTTTTTCCTTGCCAGATTATTGCTGAAAGTTCAGGAGACCCTTCAGGAAATGCTCCCCTCCCCCTTCCCCCAAACCCTCTTTTTTAGTCATGTGTGCATGGCCCCCGAAAAAGTCCATAAAATTCAGGCGACATCTATACTATGCTTGGCAAAACCACGGAATCATGGACAGTGGAAGCCAGCCCTCGCTGGGCTCCTGTGCCAGAGGTTTCAGAGGAATTCGAACTTTTTACCTTATTCTCCGGAATAAATTTTTCTACAATATTTGAAAATATATCCTTTAAAGGAGATATTTTTATTATATCCCAGATAAAAATATCTTTTCCCCCGCCAGATGATTGATGAAAGCTTAGGAAACCCTTCAGGAAATGCCTCCCCTTCCGGCCGTCCCACAAACCCTCTTTTACTGTGGTCATGTGTGCATGGTCCTCCAAGAAAGTCCACAAAATTTATGAGACATCTATATTATACCAAGCAAAACTACAGAATTCTGGACATTGGAAGCCAGGTAATGCTGGGCTCCTGTGCAAAAAGAGGTTTCAGAGGAATATAAAATTTTACGTTCTGCGGAATAAATTTTACTATTTGAAAATAGATCCGATATTTTTCAATATATCCTTGACAAACCCCCCCCCCCCTACCCCCCAACATGATGGCTGAAGGCTCAGGAAACCCTTCCGTGAATGCAACCATTTTTACACAGTCATGTGTCAAAAATGCATAGACCTCCTGAAAAAATCCACGAAATTCAGGCGACATCTATTCTATGCCTGGCAAAACCACAGAATTGTGGACAGTGGGAGCCAGCCCTTGACCCTTGGATGGCGGCAGCCTCCTTTCCATCCCAGGGCAAAGTTGGACTTTTTCCTGATGAGTGTGCATTATATTTTTGCACAAGGTTATGCAACCCCTGCCAGGTGGGGGAGGGCAAAGTTGGATTTTTTCCTGGATAATGAAATGCTGGGAAAGTCCTGAGTCAGACTTTTTCTGTATTGACCTCCAACCTGGGCTCCTGGCTTTCAAGCTTAAATTTAATCTGTGAATGGGGAAACAACACAAGGCCAGGGAAAAAAAGGGAGCCTTGATGCTTTCATTTTTTCATTTTCAGGTGAAATTTTTATGTGGAAAATTAAAAAAATGCCAGGATTTTTCCCGACTTCACCCTGCACACACTGTTGGAGTTTTTTTCAATTCCACTCTGGAGTGCCACAAAATTCTGCAATAAAAGTTCAACTTAGCTGCAAAAGGGTTAAACCAGTATCCTGCGCCAAAGGTTTCAGACAAATATAAACTTTTACCTTCTGCGGAATAAATTTAACTGAAAAATCTATGCTTTAAAGGCAATATTTTTTTTATTATATCCCTGATTTAAAAAATCTCTCCGCCGGATGATTGCTGACAACTCAGGAAACCCTTTAGTAAATGCACCCCCCCCCCCCAACCCAGCTTTTTATGCAGTTTTGTGTAAAAATGCATGGACCCCCTGAGAAAAAATGCCACGAAATTCAGGCGACATCTATACAATGCCTGGCGAAACCACAGAATTGCGCACAGCTGCAGCCAGCCCTTATACCGGTATCCTACGTCAGAGGTTTCAGACAAAAATAAACTTTTACCTTCTGCGGAATAAATTTATTTGAAAAATCGATGCTTTGGAGGCAATCTTTTTGATTATATCCCTGATATCAAAAATCTCCCCGCCGGATGATTGCTGACAGCTCATCAGCCAGGATACCCTTCAGCATAAATGCATCCCCCCCCCCCCCCCTTAACCCAGCTTTTTATACAGTCATGTAATGTGCATGAACCCCCCCCCCCCCCCTCATGANTGACCCCCCCCCCCCCCCCCCCTCATGAGAGTGCTCCAGCAGGTCGTAAAGAGCATGGACGGCAAGCAAACAAGAAGAGATTCCTTGATGGGAAGGTCTTGTGCTCAGGTCACGTTGCTGCACGCGGAAATACCTTCCACCAGCAGCACGCTTTGCTTTTTGCACACAGAAAGTCCCCCCCCCCCCTTCTCCTCCTTCAGCAGTCGGCTGCTGATGGTGTCTGGGGCAGACAGGCGTGGTTCCCTCGGACAGAGAATTGAATTGCGTAAGTTGATGACACGCACACAAGGCGCTTTCTGATGATTAATCCAATTCCCAGGCGCTTCTACTTGGTGACGTACGTCTCGCCGCTTGCTGAAGAGTGAATGCCGCATTCAAAGTTGCATGAGATTCGCATCAATGCCAGCACGCGTATGCATTGTTCTCTGGGGTTTTTTTTTTTTTTTTTTTTTTTTTTTTTTTTNAGGGATCTGGTATTTGGCGGGCTGATGAGGTGCTTCAGCTTCCTGGTATATCCAACTTTTTTTTTTTGGAGGCAGCGGAACTGTTTATCATTGTGCTGCGCTGCGCCTTTATTAAGGAGAGTTTTACAATTTTGTTGATCATGCTTGAAAAATGGGACAAAGAAGCTTGATTGAATATTCAGATATTGTTGTCACAAATATTTTAAACAAGAGTATTAAATTTGACGTGCCAAAATCAGAGAACCCCAATTTCTCAGTAAAAACTCCTCTTTCATCCCATCTCTGTGAGAATATTGGAAGACCTTGGTTCTCAAGTTTCTTTCTGAGCCTTCAAGGCTGAATTTTATTGCTAAAATCCTGTTGCTGTTTTTTGTCCTTGAATGACAGTTTTCCTGTTTTCCCAAATTGGCAAAATTCATTCTCTCCGATTCAAGAATTTGCGTGTGTTGTTCTGTTGTTGACTCTCACAAAAATCTACATCTCTCAAACTTGTGCAAAATTTCAAAGTATAACAAATAAATAATAGGGTGAATTTCACCCCGGTTGTAGCCTGACCAAATTCTTGTGTTTTATTTACAAAATCAGTCTGTTTTCTCAAACTTAATTTCCATCTTTACTTGTTGAGGATTTATTCCTCACAATTGTTAAGGACTTCTGCTGCACCTTATTTTTAATCAAGGTAGAAAAAAATGGAGAAAAGTAGCCTCCAGAAAAACTGGTAATAGACAAGAAGTTTCCACTACGCAAATAATTTGCATGTTTGCACTGGCACATGGTCCTTGATTTTGATTTTCTTGGCCAATCAAAGACCTGCTGAGAGATGCAAAATGTCAAGTTTGATGTAGAAAACATCAAATTTTACATTGTCTTGCAAATTTGACTGCTTTGTAATTTGACCCCAGCCCAGCAATGGATTAGGATCAAATTGCATGGTACCACCTGTGTCATGGTGTTGGGGATTGCAGAGGCACGCTCATACTTGAATACAGTGAAGTATTAAATCAATAAACCATCTGCTTCCCAGAAACCAGTGTTGGGCTCCAGGAGCCTCACAGCACCAAAGAAATAGCCCCCCAAAAACATTCACAAACTGGTACAAGAATGCTGTACATCATCTTTGATTCTGACATAAATGGCCAATCAGAAAGCAGGAAAGAATCCCAATGTTCATCAAGAACAAGTTTGAGAAAAGCCTTCCTCAATAAGGCATTAAAGCCTGTAAAACCAAAAAGCAATGCTTCATTCTCTCATACAGAATCTCATTCCAATTCTCAGCTTCCACTGTTATTACTGAACCAATTCTCTTGAAAATTCTGTGAATTCTTGTGTGTGTGTGTGTGTGTGTGTGTGTGAATTTCTCTGGAAAAACATGCTGAGTTGTTGATTCTTTTGGGACATGAATACATCATGATATCTTAGAGGCTCTATATAAGAGACTCCCAGCAAGTCCAAGGCTGATTGTGGTGTTTTACTCATAAAATATATTTGTTTTGGGAAATACCTAACAGCACACGGATACACTTGTTCCCATTATAAATAGTATTCATTGAATCATCAGAAGCCTTTTCAAGAAATTCAAATCAGATCATCAGTGGAAGTGGCCAATATAATCAGGGTTGAAACTACTCCAGCTGTTCATTCACTGACCTGATCAAAAATATGCTGTGTCAACAAAATCCAAGACCAAAGTTTGTAAATCTGTGCTTTGTGGATCCCTATAAAGGATCTCTCTTCCCTCTCTTAATGCTTATGCAGGAGCTTCCAAAAAGTTGATGTACCAGTGGACACAAAGCATGTGACCAGCTTTAACTATATGCAGAATTTTTTTTTAAGCATCTTTCTGAGCTTTTGAACCTGATGCCCAAGTGCTGTGGTTGGGGACCCCCAGCTTCTTGGGTATTGAGTAATGGGGTAACAGTCACAGGATTTTGTTCAGTAAAATACATGCTTGCAAAACATTTCTGATGTTCCTTGGTTGGCCACATGTGTGAAACCACCATTTTCCAGTACAGTTTGTTCAACGTCTGTCCTGATTATGGTGCTGACTGCAATCATTCTGGTTTTCAATCAAAGCATTCAAAAGTGATAAATTTTTATCCATTTGAATTTTTATTCTGATAGTGATCCTTGTGCTTTTTGTTTGAACAAAGGAAGGTATACTTGAAAAATATGTTGAATAATTTGAATAAAACAAGAATGTGGTGTATAACTCCAGTAAAAAAAAAAAAACACCGTATTCATACTGTTTCTTTTATCTTCAGTTTATTGTGCTGCTTGTATTTGGTCAATTCCTCCATGGCTTTCAGATCCTTTGTTATTATAGGATACCAATTTACAACACGTTTTGTTCACGAAAAACACATCAATTATTAGAAGAAAATTTTTAAGGAATTATAAACCAGCTCATTTTTTGCCCTTCCTGTTTATTTTTTCTTGCTTCATCCAGTTCCCTTCAATGTCTTTGTCAAAAGAGCATCACTTGGTGGGGCAGGAATGGGGATAGAATAATTTATTTAATTTAAGTAACAGTTGTGTGCTAGTAACGTCCCTTTTCAAAGGTTATAGCTCCTATTTTCTTGGACTGGTTTCTCGTTTTTGGGAATTTAATTAAAGTTTAACATCTATAAGTCTCAGTCAGAGGATAAAAATTTTAATTGATTAGTGTAGAGCTAAGGAAATGCATTTTTTCCTCAAAATTTCGCAAAAATTGCTGGAAGGGCCCAAACTGCAATTTATATCTCGTACTCTGCTGGGCAAATAAGTTTATCGTGAGGAAATTTTGTCGAAATAATTCATAACGAAATGAAAAATAAATGCAAAATTACTCAAAAACGAAGATTAAATAACCAAAATATACCCCCAATTTTTTTTTGTCTGTTTTTTTTTTTTCAAGAAGGGAAGTATACTCAGCTCTTCGCAGGCCTGTGAGACGGTGATGCGCGGGATGCTGGCCTCCTGGTGCAGCTGGACGACCTGTTTCTTCATCGCCTGGAGCTGGGACATGGCGGGCGGGTCCGCCGTGGCGCCGGTCGGCGGCGGCGGCGACGTGCTGGCGCTGCTGGGCCGGGTGGCGCCCGACGCGAGCGCGCTGCTTGCCGAGAAGTGGCCCGTGGGGTACGAGCGGCGACCCAACTGCGAGGACCCGGTCGGCAACCCCGAAAACACACTGTGCATAAAAATCCCGGAACCCCTTGGCACCACGACCTGCTCCCCACCCCACTTAATTTTCTCCACTCGATGTTTCTCGATATTATTTTGGTCTTGTCAGTTTTTTTTCGCTATTTTTTACAAGATGTATCTGTATCTCGTCTGGACACTTGTTGGTTAATTCTTCAAAAATTCACAAAACAAACAAATTATTCGAATGAATCAGCCAATCGACATAAAACGGTTCAAACCATGTGTGATAGTGTATTATACACATGAATAATCAATGTATCTGACAGAAATTGAATTGTTCCAAAAATTGAATGCGGGTGGAAACAAAGATTAAAAGTTTTGATGCGTTATTTCTATTTTTTTCTCATATAGCAGAGTACATTCTGAAGTACCTCTACCACAATAAAAGTATTGCACTTGGAAAATGTTTCAGTATATAGAGATGAATAAGTAGAATGATCAAAGCATTGCTCATTTTGAGTTTTATAAACCAAAGCTCCCTCAAACAGTCAAAACCCAAATTATGTTGAATTTTTTGTCCCTGTTTGAGTTTTCTTGAAAATAATGTAATACAGTTTAGACCAGTGTTCCCGAACTCTTGGTAAAATTTCTTAAGCATGATACATTTATAGAAATTAATAATAATGGAGTCTGTTATTGTTATCCAAAATTTTGAAAAGACAAATACAGTTGAAATTATCAGATGAAAAATAAAAGTTGGATTTTCTCTTAAACAAACAGTTCAGGCATATTTTTGCCTGGTGAAATATATTACTTTTAGTTTTCAATTTGAGAAGCCCAGCTATTTCTATTGAAGCCCAGATTTTTCTATTTTTTGTAAACATATTTCATTATAACATATAGCTGTTTCAATGGTTCTCAACTTAATCTATGAAATGCAAGTTCTGTACTAAGGACTTTTTGGCAGCTATGGAAAATTTTCTGATGGTCTTCAAAAGTTGTGTGGAACTTTGCCAGCCTGAAATTTTTTTTTATTTGCTGGTCTTGGAGCTCAAGAAGGTTGGGAAACACTGCTATAGACCTTCAGTACAGTGCTCATAGACTTTCCTCTCAAATCCTTTTTCTTGGAATAAGGTATTGGATACTGTACTTCTGGTCACTCAATATGTACAAAATGTGCCATTTAAAAAAAACCTGATTTACCACCTGCAAGGTTACATGAATTACATCCCTACCACCAGCATACACATGGAATTATTGAGAGGAACACACAAATTAAACTTTTTTTCCAGCAAATTCTTGAAGCACCTTCCAACATTTTTTTTTCAATTCACTGCACAGAACGTTAACAAAAGGCTAAGCAAGTTAATGTTTTTGCTATTTCAAGTTGCTGCGTGCTTGTAGAACATGGGACCCCTAATGTATGTTTTCAGTGAATATCCCCGGCTTCTTTGAAAATGAAAAGGGAGTTTCTATGACTACCGCTTTTCATGTCAACGAAAATAGCCTTTTGAGGAAGGAGACATGCAATGCTGTTCCTTCTTTAAACTCTTGAGCATCATGGGTGTTGAGAAAGTTCAGGTACATTTTAATTCCAGGAAACAAATTTTCAAAAGACTTGGAGAAACTTTTGAATTTATCAAGAATAGAGGTCACTCGGTGACCTTCAACAGAAACGTTGCTTAATTTCGAACGGAAAATTGCCAACATTTGCTCCATGTCACCAAACAGAATTGGCCATCATGTTTTGTCATTTAATCTTCCAAGAAGCGATTTTCACATCGAATAACATTTGTAGACCATAATAAATACCAAGATTTCCATCATGTATAATTCATAAATTAAGGACACTTCCTACGTTTAAACTACTTTGCCTAGCTTTATAATTTTTTTCATGGATTAAAAAAAATCTGTAGTCTTTTTTTCGCTGCCAAAGTCACAAAAAGGTGGACATTAGGGAATTAAAATTTCTAAAATTAATGGAAACAATTGGAAAACTTCAATGATATTCGAGCAGAAATTGAGCAAATCCATAAAAACAAATCGAGCAAAAACAGTGTTTTGGTCCTATCCAGAGTTCAGCTCAAAATTTTCCCTTGAAAATAATTAGCATTAATTTATTCAGAAAATTGCATCATTTTTATATGAATTAAAACCAGTTGGGTTATGGATGTACAGTATTTCACTTTATTCCGAGACATGTTCAGCCACGTGACCTCAGGAAAGATCATGCCAAAATGCAAAAAACAAAAAAACTGGGGTTGAAACCATGTTTGTCGCATTTCAAGGCCGCAAAATTATTTTCCTCATTCCACGTTGTTAAATCAAAACCAGTTCCAATGAAATCTGATCTTGTTTTGTGCCTTATTTTTTCTGTAAGAATAATGTCAGTGGGAAAATTGCGACAGGAAAAACGTGGCATGAAAAAGTCACGAAAAAAACATGTAAATTCATTTCACAGGAAATTAAGCCTACTCTTATCTGTTATTGCTGCTTGAAATGGAAAAAGGGTTATGATATCACGGGATCTCGGGGACGGGATTTTCACAGGGAAAACCATGCTGATAAAATAGGTCAAGCACTTCTATAAGGAATCCGGAATAAATTATCCTTTCTCGCACGCAAGACGTCAGTATTACTTTTTTTCTTTTTTCTTGTTTGTAATATCACTTCATCGAGGATTTTTCTTTCTCGAGGATCCAAGGAAATCTTTAATGATCGTCTATGAAAGTGATTTCGATGCCTGGATTATTTTCTTGCGTGGTTTAACAAGTTTTAGTTTCCTTTCGTAGTTTTATTGGAGACTGTTCATCTAGGGACTTCGGTGTTTCCTTTCGATGCCAAGCGCTTACCTGTCTTTTTTTTAATGTGTATAACAACTTCTTTCACGTTTGTCTCATATTATTTTTTCGTTTATAAAAGTATACTGCACTTACGAGAGGTTTCAAGATAAACATGTTGTTACCTTTGGAAAATTACTTGTTTCCTAAAAGGATATTGATCGAGTTCTTTGAGGAAAAATATCGCATGCACATGAAGAATAATCTAGGGCGAAATATTAAGCTCATGGCGTTTCTCCCCGAAAAAATTGAGCACATTACTTCCCAAAACTGCAATAAAAAAAATACAAGTTGGTTAGTTTGAAATACTGTACATACTGTATCGATTTTTAAAAACATTTTTTAGCGCGAACTGTTGGGAATAATGGAGTGAGATGGGCTTATATTTTCACAGATGAATATTTGAACATTTTCTGGCGGCAATTCCAATTTTTCCAAATAATAACGCTGAAATAAATAAAAAATATGGTGGAAAGTTCATCTCATTGCGATTGGAAGATATATTTCCACGACCACACCTGAATCGTTTATGAATCCCCAGTCAGCCCATGTGCTGCCTAATATATTTAAAACAAAATTTAAAAAATTATATTCCCGATCACGAAGTTTTAGAAGCACTCAACAATTGAATACTTCCCAAAACTTCAATCAAGAAACTGAATAAAATTTCGAAAATTTGAAAAATATTGATTGTTTAATAATTTTATCCGCCTGAATTTTTGAAAAATGGAGTATGGGCATATATTTTCGCAGAAGAATATTTGAACATTTTCTGGTGACAATAAATTTTTTTTTTCAAATAAAGTCTCAAATAAACCAAAAACGGACGGTGGGAAGTTCACCTCATTTATAATGATAGGATGATATATTTCCACTGTCAAACCTGAATCTTCTACGAATTTCCAGTCAGTCTAAGTACTAGTACCAAATAATTTTTTTAATAAAAAAACATTGCTGACCACAGCCCAGACCTGCAAACAATTTGCCAAGAAAAAATGTTCTTATCCTGTCACTTTATTTGTTATACTAATGACGAAAGGAAAAGTTGAGCAGGAATAACGATTACTTAGATAAAAGTTATCGAAGTGAACCCGAGAGGGAAATATATATATATATATAATTAAATAAAATCAACCGAATCCTCAACGAATAAATCTGGGATCAGTGAATAATTTCTATAGTTAAAATTTACTTTTCCTTTTCAATTCTCGAACCTCAGCAACGAATAATTAAGTGCAAAAAAACTACTCACGCCTTTGCCCTCGCTTGTTTTTCCTCTGCAAAAAAAAAAAAAAATATTGAATCTTTGCTGCAAATCTGGAAAATTTATCTGAAAGAATCTGCACCTTTGCCAGTGAGTCCAGCCAGTTAAACCGTGGGGCATATCTCGATAAAATCTTTCTTCTCCCAATCTTTCCTGCGTGTAATATCCGTGAGGTTCCAAGATTCTGTGTCCATCAAAATGATCGGAAATGATGGTAAAAAAAAAAATCACCTGTCACCACGACGTAATGAGAAGAATGTATGAATAGTCGAGGCCTATGATATGTCTCGACATGAAACAAATGGAAGCCATCTCGTTGGGATTCAGTGAATCTATCCTTGGTTCAAAGAGTATAATGCTAAAATATTGAAATGAGCATAACATAGAATGGAATATGCGATGCGCACAGAGAAAATCTATATCCATTTGATATAAAATGAGAGAAAAAAAGGTAAGAAAACCCAGGAAGGGACATTAATGCAACCAGCAGCTTGGTTAATTTCCCCTGGGATCCTCGCCAGCTGTGACTGAGGGATCTTTTTTTAATCCCAACCATCCAAATGCAACGCATCGGTTCGTGACATATGGAAGCCTTCTCGGAAAAAGTTAGATATATTTGGCCAAGACTTTTTTTTCGATTCCGTCGAAGCAAAAGAAAAAAAAAGAGAGACTCTTTCACTCATTTTTCACCTCCTCTTATTAGGGCTCCATAAATTATTCTGCTGATGTCAAGCAGCTGAATGGCAACCCTATGCTGTTGAACGAACCCGTTGGAATTTCTCGTAATTATACACACGGACATAAATTCTAGTTGTCATTGACGAATAATACGGATGTACAACCATAATAACGCATTATTGAAGACTTTCGACATTTTTCACTCGAAAAAGCACTATACGACAGCATTCTCACGGAATAATCACAAAAAAATTGTATTTTCCTTTCAACGGACGCTCGCCCTTGGGGATATACCGGTATATTTTTTTTGTGACAGAACCAGGGCCACACTACCCAGTAATCTCTCACTGGAAAGTTTACATAAAATAAAAATGTCACATCACAACTTCATATAACATGCCTGTGACATCTTCAGGAAAGGATTCAAAACTATTATTGCAAGAAGCCGAAGAAATTAACTGAAAGAAACACACAGAAAAAAATCTCCTTTGCACTATATTCAGCAATATGCTGCATCATGTGAAAACAAAGTTATACATCACTCATTTTTATGAACTTCTATTCCGTATAACCAAGTAATTTTGCTTTGAAAAAATCAACAGATGCGTTATTTACATTTCAAATTTTAATGAAAATATTTGCCTTTTTCGTACTGGAATAAAGTTGCTGGTCAAACTATTATTGCCGGTTTCTCTTGAATCTGAATATTTTTGACCTCTCCAATTTGGAAAAATAACCTCCATGCTAAAAAAAAAATTTTCATCCGCGTTTCAACCAAAAAAATAATAAAGTTCAGCAACTGTCAGAAGTGAAATAAAACCCAGGGCTTTTTTCAACTCTGGATATCTTCGACCTTTGATTTTAAAAAAATATGTACGCTCAACCTTTTTTCATCCCCTTCTCAACCAGAAAAATAAATTTCAGCAACTGTTAGAAGTAAAATATAAATCCAGGGTTCCTATATATATATATATATATATGCTCACAGGAAGAAAGCAAAGAACAATATATAACCAGCAGCAGCAACAGGCAGCAACAACTTGTTGCTTCCGCGCAAATATATCCCTCCAAGAAACTATTATATACAGGAGGAAGTGTCAGACCCGCAACCCACGACTCCCAGACAGAGACTGGGGTTCCCCGGCAAGTGGAAGGGGGGTTAGGCAAGAAAATAAGAAGAAGAAGGGGGAAAAAAAAAACCCGCGGCACCCGGGATATGTGACACCGGTTCTCCCGACGCGCGCAAGTGGGGTTCTAATGGCTCAACGGCGGGGCCACCCCCCGGAGGACCAGAACCCGGGACAAGACTATACGTG